AATGACTTTGCATTTGAGATACATTCTGTTTTGTTGAAAAAGCGCACAATTTGTAGACAGTCAATGTGGCATTTTGCAAATTCCTACTTCTGGAAATAAAACCAGTCTGACTCCATGTTAAAAAAACAGACAGATTCTAACAAGGCCTTACACCTCAAATGCATTGTCTGACCTGAGTTGCCACCTCTGGTATACTCATAGAACCTTTAGTTATCTTGGGGCAGTGACTTGAAATAAATTCTGGGATTTGCATATTAATCAACCAAAACTTGCATCTCATTTCTAACTGATTAAAGATTTAATAGCCATCTTAGGTTAGTTCAATACATTTGCATCAGTTCTGTGACCCTTTGATCTTTTGCTTATAAATTCTGTGTCTGATGCAACCTTTTTCACTAACACCTGAGGAAAGAACAAGACTCTGAAAGCTTGTATTTTCAAATAAACCTGTTGGACTATAATCTGGTGTTGTGTGATTTTTGACCTTGTCCACTTCAGTCCAACACTGGCACCTCCACATCACGGTCACCAATATAAGGCAAACCAACACGGGGTAGCATTCAAGATGGGTTTCGAACCATCTGCGCACATGTGGTTTAGTGATGTTAGTCTTCACAACAATCTTGGTTGTGCAGGTATGCCCTGTGTGTACGTTGTTGTCATTATGACTGGTGCGCAGGTAGTTCTTGTATTAGCTTTTTATGAAGCTGTTGTACACTTGTGTTGTTCAACAGACTCTAAATTTAACAGTAGTGCATTATGAAATGGCAAAATGACTGTGAATGTGGAATCTATGGTGTCGTAAAACAGAATGCTAGAGCAAAATAACGCACTATTTGTGTACGTGTCTTGTGTTCTATGGGTGTCATTGGAGTTTGTTTCCAACCTGTGAATATATGGCCAGAGATGGTAGGAACTGCAGATGCTGGAGAATCCGAGACAACAAGGTGCAGGGCTGGATGAACACAGCAGGCCAAGCAGCATCATAGGAGCAGAAAGGCTGACGTTTCGGGCCTAGACCCTTCATCAGAAAAGGGGGAGGGGAAGGGTGTTCTGAAATAAATAGGGAGAGAGTGGGAGGCGGATAGAAGATGGATAGAGGAGAGGATAGGTGGAGAGGAAACAAACAGGTCGAAGAGGCGGGGATGGAGCCAGTAAAGGTGAGTGTAGGTGGGGAGTTAGGGAAGGGGATAGGTCAGTCCATGGAGGACGGACAGGTCAAGGGGGCGGGATGAGGTTAGTAGGTAGGAGATGGAGGTGCGGCTTGAGGTGGGAGGAGGGGATAGGTGGGAGGAAGAACAGGTTAGCGAGGCAGGGACAAGCTGAACTGGTTTTGGAATGCGGTAGTGGGAGGGGAGATTTTGAAGCTTGTGAAATCCACATTGATACCATTGGGCTGCAGGGTTCCCAAGCGGAATATGAGTTGCTGTTCCTGCAACCTTCGGGTGGCATCGTTGTGGCACTGCAGGAGGCCCAGGATGGACATGTCGTCTGAGGAATGGGAGGGGGAGTTGAAATCGTTCGCGACTGGGAGGTGCAGTTGTTTATTGCGAACCGAGTGCAGGTGTTCTGCAGAGCGGTCCCCGAGCCTCCGCTTGGTTTCCCTGATGTAGAGGAGGCCACATCGGGTACAGCGGATGCAGTATACCACATTGGCAGATGTGCAGGTGAACATCTGCTTGATGTGGAAAGTCTTCTTGGGGCCTGGGATGGGGGTGAGGGAGGAGGTATGGGGACAGGTGTAGCACTTCCTGCGGTTGCAGGGAAAAGTGCCGGGTGTGGTGGGGCTGGAGGGGAGTGTGGAGCGGACAAGGGAGTCACGGAGAGAGTGGTCCCTCTGGAAAGCAGATAAGGGTGGGGAGGGAAAAATGTCTTTGGTGGTGGGGTTGGACTGCAGATGGCGGAAGTGTCGGAGGATGATGTGTTGGATCCGGAGGTTGGTGGGGTGGTACGTGAGGACGAGGGGGATTCTTTTTTGGTTCTTATTGCGTGGACGGGGTGTGAGGGATGAGTTGCGGGAGATGTGGGAGACACAGTCGAGGGCGTTCTCGACCACTGAGAGGGGGGAGTTACGGTCCTTGAAAAACGAGGACAACTGAGATGTACGGGAGTGGAATGCCTCATCCTGGGAGCAGATGCGGCGGAGGCGAAGGAATTGGAAATAGGGGATGGCATTTTTGCAGGAAGGTGGGTGGGAGGAGGAGTATTCTAGGTAGCTGTGGGAGTCGGTGGCCTTGAAATGAATATCGGTTTCTAGGTGGTTGCCCGAGATGGAGACAGAGGTCCAGGAAGGGGAGAGAGGTCCAGGTGAACTTAAGGTTGGGGTGGAAGGTGTTGATGAAGTGGAATGAACTGTTCGAGCTCCTCGTGGGAGCACGAGGCGGCGCCGATACAGTCATCAATGTAACGGAGGAAGAGGTGGGGTTTAGGGCCAGTGTAGGTACGGAAGAGGGATTGTTCCACGTAACCTACAAAGAGGCAGGTGTAGCTTGGGCCCATGCGGGTACCCATGGCCACCCCCTTTGTCTGTCGGAAGTGGGAGGAATTGAAAGAGAAGAGAATATATGGCCAGTGCATTTTTATGACCGGCAGCTGCTGTTCACTTCTTTGGCAGTAATGTAGCATTGCAGCACTCTGTTTCTGGACTGATGTGCTCAGTGCTTTACTTGGTAGTGACATTGCAATCTTACTAACAAAGTTGCCACCACTTGCAGTCCCTCAGAAGGTTGGTATTTACATTATCAAATCCAAACGGTAATTAAAAGGTAAAATTTAATACAAATACAATTTTTGGAGAACCTGAGTTTGAACCCTTGTATATCCCCCTCATGTTTAGTATTTGTTATGTAGCGTTTAGGTTTTCTGTTTTAAACAAGAAAACATTCATGCTATGTTCACATCAACATTAACTTTGTCTGTTAAGCTTTATAAAAAATTTATATCTGTCTTGATCTCAGAATATCTCAAAGGGGTTTACAGCTTTGTAGTGGAGTCACTTATAATGTTGGAGACAGAGCAGCCACTTTAGCTGGTGATCATAATGGAATTTTTTTGTTTGTCATGCTGCCTCTTGAGATTTATACTGGACACCAGAGAGGGTGATTCTGGGTTTCAAAATAATTAATTGAAATAATTTGCAACACTTCAATCCCCATAATTCAGACAAGCCTTCAGTTTGACACTTCAGTTAAAATGTTGTGACACCAACTGTGCAGCATTCCTTCGAGTCTGGAGTGTTAGGCCAGAATTGCGTAGAACTTAAACCATCACCTTCTGACTCGGAAGAAAGATCCTGCCACTAAACCATGCTGATAGTTATACTGACACTTGCACACGTTAGGCAATATTGATTTAAATTTCGGAGCAGAATGTATCCTTGTACGTCCTGTTGTTATGATTCACGACTAATTATTTTGTGAATAAATTACAGTGCATTCAATCATTAATGAGAATGTATAATGAGTAACTGTCTATTCATTAGTGAAACTTGATGTCATCGCAAGTAGAGTTAATTAAATGTGATGCTGTTCTGAAACTGTTTCTATCAAGTGTATTTAAAACTTCACAGAATGGACAGAGATAACAAGTTTATTCTCTTTGGAATTGTATGACAATTCAACTGAATGGATTTCCCCATTTTTGTTCCTGAACCTGCTTATTTCCAAAGAATAGCTTCCGTGATTTCCTGCAATCGAGTTTTTTGTTCCAAAATGGCTGTCGTTGGTCCAACTGCAAAACCATCATCCTGTTGATTATGCTACTAGTTCATGGTTCATTTCATATGTGTTACGTCTTGTTGACCATAAAATTTCCTGGTTTAATCCCTTGTTTGTGATAATAGCCCCTAAGGACTATGCAAGGTCTCCTTCATGTCACCAAATAGGAATTGTCCACCTCCTACTTGGTCATTCCTCTCAACACATGATTGACCATAGTAGCCTTGGAGATCACAGATGTAAATGAGCTGTTTGACATCTGATTAATTATTCTCAGAATTTTGAACTGGAATGTCAGAAGAATGTATGAATTCATTTTAGTTTATTTTCAAGTTCATAAAATTGGAGTTAAGTGGAGATTTACATAGATTTCCCAGATTTTGCTACAACAGTTTCTCCCTGAACAGGTAGTAGCTGTTATTCTAATATCAGCATAATTATTCAACCAAAATTGTTGTTCATGAGGAATAGTTGAGTGTCTGTGAAATCCATCATACAGAAGGATGTCAGATGCTTTCACTGCGGTAAAATTTCTGAAGAAGGAAATTATTCAATCTATGATCCTGGAATTGTATGTTAATATGGCAGAAGATGATGTGTTTTCTGAATGTATCCATTGGTTGGTTGGTTGTAATGAATGAAGAAATGATTATGTAAGGATTTTTTTTTTGCAGTTGACCAACGCAAAATGTTTAATGAAGAAAAATCTAAGTTACTGAAGTGTGTTGGAGATCTGTTTCACTTTATTTATTTCTCTCTTTGAATCCAGAATGATTGTCTGTAACCAGGTTATGAAGTATATTCTGGATAAAATTGACAAGGAAGAAAAACAAGCAGCAAAGAAACGGAAACGAGATGAGAACGTGGAGCAGAAGCGCAGTAAACAGAATGCCACGAAGCTATCAGCATTGTTGTTCAAACACAAAGAACAGTTGAAGGCTGAGATCCTAAAGAAAAGGGCATTGTTGGACAAGGAGCTTCAAATTGAGGTGCAGGTATGTGACAAATAAGCATCAAGTAAATTTTTCTTTACAGCGCTTCAGAATTTTCAGGTCCCACATAACTTTTTAAGGTAGCGAATCACCTCATTACTTTGAAGCACAGTCCCTGTTGTGGCAAAAATAAAAGCTATGATTTTTTATTTTCCCAAAACAAGGTCCCAGGAACAGCAGTGAAATGAATAATTACTGGAATCTTTTTGGCAATGTCAACGGAGAAATTTTGAGGAATGGGAAGAGCAAAGCTATTCTTTGCATACCTCCATGGTTTCAAATGTTCAAAACTCTCGATTTGCATTTCATAGAATTGTGAATTCTTGTAAACATTTCAGCTCTCCATGCCTGTGCCTGCATGCTCATTAACTAATTATGATAGCTCTTCCAAACATCTCTTTTTCCCCAAATATTGAAAATGGTTCTGTTCCAAGTATATGTCTGATTTCTGTGAAAATTATGATTTCATCTGCCTCCTACACTTTCAAGTAGGAGATTTCAAATCAATGCTCATTCTTTTAAATAATTCTCCTCATCTCTCTGGTTATTTTGACAATTTTTTTTAGATTTGTATTGTCTCCTCTGGTTACTACTGCACCCTTATTTACTCTACCAAATACCCTCAAGTTCCTTTGAGTCGTCTTTATTCTGAAAAGATCAGTCCCAGTTTACATAACATTCCATATCATTTATGTTCCTCATTTCAAGTATTATTCTTAATGTTCTTTCTGAATCCTTCCTAACGCATGGTACCCAGAACTGACAGAATATATTAGTTAAGGCCTAATTAGTGCTCCTCTGATGTGCCTGAAATTAGAATTCAACTGCAAATTGAATAAAATTGGAAAAAGAGCCAGAGATACAAGGTTAGAAATAAATGTTTAGTATAACATTCTTATATGTGTGCTTGAAATCTCTTTCTAAGGCAACAGATTTTTATGAACTTTTAACTTAACAACTTGTCATTTTCAATATTTCAGAATGTGAACCATCTCCACTATACCACAGGACTCTGTTCCTGCATTACTTTTAAAATTGTACTATTTAGTTTCTTATTACCTCCCTTCATTCTCTTATTCTTCATTTCAAATTCTATCATTTCATTACTCTGCATGAACTTTAATTTACATCTGCACATTTCACTATGTCCTGAAGTCTGCAATTGCCCCTTTGTTGTTCACTGCATTTCTAATTTCTGTCAGTCAGCTGCGTGTTTGGAAATAATGCATCTTGTATCCAACTCCAGGTTCTTCATATGTGTCATAAAATGTTGTGGTCCGAATGCTGATCTCTGGGGAACAATGCTGTATGTTTCTGTCCAGTCTGAAAAAGAACAATTTAGCACTACCCTTGACGTTCTGTCTTTTAGCTGATTGATTTTAACCATGTTTCCCCTTTAATTTTTGAATTTTAAATTTTCTTAAATTATTACATAAACAGATGCTTGCACTTTATTCCTGTCTAGCTTTTTTTAAAGCAGACATCTTCCACTTCTAATTTTATGCGGTTGGTTTTTTTTTAGTGCATTTTCATGTTCTGAATTTAGACAGTGGTACAGTTCAGTCTGGGTGGAATAATATCCTTAAGTGCCAAAGGGTAGAACACGTTGCTTCCAAGGAACATTGCACATAAGAATTCAACCAAAAACTATATTCAGCTTACTCATCTGAAACAGTCAGTTTCCACTGACAGGCAATGCCAACATCTGTGCCTCAAACTTATCTCCCATAGGCAAACAAGAATTTAGCTGACCATCAGCAGCACTTAATGCTTATGAATAAACTGTCTGCATTCTGGCCATCAGTACTGTCACAAGCGTCCTGGCTAGAAGACCAGGCAGTGAAATCTAAACTTGAGAAAATGTGGCTAATCTTTCAGTACGATATCTTTGCTTTCAGATGTATAGGATACTGTTTGCAGCAGTGTAGTGACGCATAGAGGCGTTCTGAGTTCTTATGCAGTTGACGACATTCTCTATGTAGTTTATATCAGTTGTTTCTGTTGACTGACGTTTTGTTTGTTTTGACAGGAGGAGCTGAAAAGAGACAGAAATAAGTTACGGAAGGAGAAAGAGAAGGCGCAGGCAGCTGCTATGCAGACTGCAGCCATTGCCGCTGCAAATGCTGTCCAAGCGGCTGTGACACAGAAGCGAAAGCGAGAAGAGGAGAAAGAGCCTGCCAAGGTCAAGAAGAAAAAGATGATTTCTACTACCTCAAAAGAATCCAAGAAGGACACAAAGCTTTACTGTATTTGCAAGACACCTTATGATGAATCAAAGTACGTGATCAATAAATGTTTTGTTCTACCAAAATTTCATTATTATAATAGAAACTTTTCCAGTTCCGTTCTTTATTCCAAGCAGATGTTTAGACCGCAACTTGTAGAAGCAAAAGTAGACCATTTGGCCCATTGAGTCTGCTCTGCTATCCGGTAATGCTGATCTGATAACACTCAACTCCATTTTCCTGCCTTTTTCTCCAGAACCCTAGATTCCCTTACTGATGAAAAATTTACCTCCGCCTTGAACATACTTAATGACCCTGTCTCGGTAATACACATACTGGTTCAATGCACATGATGTTTTTGTCTTTCTTGGAAAGTGGTTCTCCAGTTTTGAACAGGCATAAGGCGGCAGATGCTGGTGAGAACCGTCTGATTTTCTACAGTGAAAGTCCAAATAGAAAGTGGACAGATTTTTCTGGTTACTTTTTGTGATTGGAATTAGACACATTTCCAAAATGGCAGCAAAGAGCTATAAATACTTATTTTGTTTTCCATGTCACAACAATCTTTACCACATCTGGTTTTCTTTTGCTTCCTCATACCATGCACAGTTTTTGTATTTTCACTTTCAACTTCTCTTATCCATGTGATACTCCCAACCAGCCAAAGGACATTTTCAAAGCATCTGTCATTGATTACTGACAGATGTTTAAGTATAGCTATAATCCACTTCAACCCCTTTGTCATAGCTGTTCTCCACCCCCCATCCCCAAAAAGTAACAATGTCCTGGCTGATATTGGGGCTGCTGCTGTGTGGATTGCTGAGAGAACCAATCCTTATCATACTCTGGGCCTGGCACCAGAGTGCTGCACCACCACCTTGCCTCTGCATAAAAGGCTTGTGGCTCACCGGAACGAGAAAAAAACTTAAACACACTCAGATGTGTGTGTTCGTTTTTCAGGTTCTACATTGGCTGTGATCTGTGTACGAACTGGTATCATGGAGAATGTGTTGGTATCACAGAAAAAGAGGCTAAAAAAATGGATGAGTACATTTGCAATGAATGTAAACGAGCACAGGAGGGCAGCAGCGAGGAGCTCTACTGTATCTGTAGAACACCATACGACGAATCACAGTAAGCTGAAATGTCAACAAAGCCTTTTTATTGGCCTGAGGTAGTTTCACTTTTGAGAGTCAGGCCTGCAGTACTGTCCTCCCCAGATGTTTCTTTCTTACTGATTGCGATGCAGACTGCATGAAATCATATTAAGCTTGCCTGTGATATTTGATATAACTTTGCTTTTGAAATCTCCCCTCTATAGGCCATGGATTTCATAATTGATGTTTCTCCAGTGTTTTCATTTTTTTCCCTAAACTTTGGGCTAATGCACTTAATGTACATACAGTTCTCCAGTATCTTCCATTCAGCTGCTAAGGTTACCACCTAACTTTCCAATTGTTTTCTGCCCCTTTCCTTGTCAGGTGTGCTGTCCGTTGCTTGCCACAGCATTTTGGTAACCTGACCGACCAAACAAACACTCTTCATTTATGAGTTCACATCGTGAAGATTGGCAGGCTGTTGATCCAAGTGAGGCATCACAGCTGAGCTAATCATGTCCTTACCAACCATAAACAGTTTCATCAAGAATAACAGTCAGAATTAAGAGACCTAAATGTTCCCCATTCCCTAACTCCTCCACTAATATCATAATCCAATGAGAAATTGACAAACTGCAAAGACTGGAAACCAAACCAAACCTTCTCCTGATCTGTATGGCACTGTTGCTTACTGTCTGTCTGAGCCATAGTAGCTAACTGCAGCACTGTGTGTATTTGATCTTTTATTTACTTGGGGAATTTGTAGAAACACAAAGATTGGCCTTTCAGGTAGGAGAAAAATTCTTGATTTCAGAGACAACTGGTTAAAAACTCTTGAACACTGCAGGAGGGAATCAGAATAACAGCTTTTGGAAGGTTTGTGACTAACATTATATAGTGGATTTTTACAGGATTCAAATGTCACAGTCTGTACTTTGTTTAAAGAAAGCTCTGTTTTGTAATTTTGACCAAATTTAACATGCACTGATGTCAAAACGAAAGCAGAATTCAGTGCAAAAGTAGTGTCACAAAGAATATATACTTGTTTTAAAATACACTTGGTAAATTCTTATCCCTTAATTTTGCAGTAATGTTCATTCACTTTGTGGCAATTTTTAAAATTTTGAAGTACAAACAAAATGGGGAAATTATATTTGATTTACTTCCCAATTTAAAAAATATTCAGAATTCCCCAATGCCTCAATCTTGCACATATCCTGTGATATTGTTCCAAAATCTGAATTTGATTTTCTTTTCCTTTCAAGTTTTCCTCACCCATCTCCCACCATCTCCCCAGCTTGTTTGATACATATCGACACCTAGACTCTATAGGTTCCTTGCACAAATGACCATCCTTTATGTTTTAACTTTCACTAAGTTACTTAACCTCAAAATTCTTTGATAACTGTCTAGGAACAGGGAACTAGAATGATGATTGATCCCCCTCATGGGGATTTCACCTGAGGCCTCCAAATCTGCAAAATTCAACGAGTTTTTCAGTGAATGTTTGGTGTGATCAGGTGGGAAGACCCTGATAAAATAATGAATAATCCATGGTGCATTTTGTTGATGCTGTTGATTTGGCTGTTTTTTTTTGAACTGTGAAGATTATAAGAAAATTGTGTATATTGTTTAAACCCATAGGTTTTACATCGGTTGTGATCGCTGCCAAAACTGGTACCATGGACGTTGTGTTGGCATTCTACAGAGTGAAGCAGATCTCATTGACGAGTATGTTTGCCCACAGTGTCAGTCTACAGAAGATGCTATGACTGTTCTTAGCCCGCTTTCTGACAAAGATTATGAGGGTCTTAGACGAGTGCTGCGCTCTTTACAGGTAAGAAAATTTACAAAATAATTTCTAATAAAACTTCTGTCAACTTTTCGTTTCATGCCTCTTCTTGCATTTATTTTATATTTTTCTTCTACTTTCACCCAAAAGCTCCTGCCTTCTTTACCAGAAAATCAGATGTCAACCTAGGTAGTAGCTTTCCATTGTTTAGGCCAGTGATACTCTGCCTGTAACAATCTTTAACAATCCTGTAATTGGGGGTGGGTGTGTGCGGATGGGTGTAATGTTACTGACCTGCTGTTCTTTACTTAATCCTGACCAAAAGAAATTAAACTGATACCTGGTAGCTAGAAAGAAATAAACTTGCTGTAGAGAGATTTAGGTGTAAAGGCTCTGTCTGAAAGCATTGTGCACCAGCTATCTCCACTGATTTGAATAATCCAAATTTAAAGTAAGTCTGCAGTAAGATGGTGATTTTTGTTTTAAAAGAACTTTCAAAGCTATTAAATGCTGTCTCTCCATCTTATTGTCATGGTAAAATAAAATGTGAATTAAAGATATACCTATAAAGTCTGTACAAA